CTCATCCACCCACCCACCCAATCACCCAGCCACTTATCCACCCTCCCAACTCATACACCCACCCACCCACTCAGTCACCCATCCACTCACTGATCCACCCACTCACCTACCCACTAACTCACTCACCTACCAAAACAATCACCCACCAACTCACGCACGATCCACTCACCCACTCAACGATCCACCAAACTACCCATGCATTCACCAACCCACTCACCCATGCACCCACTCACACACCCACCGAACCACCCACTCACCCACCCACCCAATCACCCATCCACCCACTCACCCAACCACCCACTCACGCACCCACCCACTCACCCATCCACCCACTCACCCTTCCACCCACTCACCTATCAACCCACTCCCGCATCCAACCACCCACTCACCTACCCATTCAAACAGCCAACCACTCACACACCCACTCACCCACCCACTCACCCACACACCCACTCACCCATCCACCCACTCACCTAACCACTCACCCACTCACCCACCGACTCACACAACCACACATCTACTCATCCAACCACTCACCATTCCCACCCACCAACTCACCCATCCATCCACACACTTACCCAACCACGCACTCACTCACCCAGTTACACAACCACCAACTCACTCAATCATCTGCTCACTCACTCAACCACTCACAAAATCACCCACCCACTCACCCACCCACCCACTCACCCACCTACTTAGTCACCCACCCACTAACACATACACCACCTACGTACCCACCCGCTAACCCACCCTCCCACTCACCCACCCACCCACCGACTCACCGATCCACCCACTCACACACTCACTCACCCATCCAATCGCTCACTCAATCACTCCCCCCCAACCACTCACCCACCCACCAACTCACCCACCCACCCACTCACCCATCCACCCACTTACCCAACCACCCACCCACTCACCCATCCACCTAATCACCCTTCCACCCACTCACATATCAACCCACTCCCGCATCCAACCACTCACACAACCACTCGCCCACCCACTCACACACCCACCCACTCACCCATCCACCCAACCAATCACCCACCCACTTATCCACCCACTCTTCGACCTACCCACCGACCCTCTCAACTCATACACCTACTCAGTCACCCACCCACTCACTGATCCACCCACTTGCCTACCCACTAACTCACTCACCTACCAAACCAATCACCCACCAACTCACCCACGATCCACTCAATCACCCACTCAACGATCCACCCACCTACCTACGCATTCATTTACTTACCCACTCAAAAAATCACCCACTCACTTACCCACCTACTTAGTCACCCACCCACTAACACATACACCATCTAATTACCCACCAACCCGCTAAACCACCCTCCCACTCACCCACCCATGCACCCACCGACTCACCGATCCACCCACTCACCCACTCACTCACCCACCCACTCACCCACCCACTTACTCACCCACCCACTCAATCACCTATCAACCCACTCCCGCATCCAACCACTCACAGACCCACTCACTCACCCACTCACCCATCCACCCAATCACCCAACAAACCCACCCACTCACCCAACCACACACTCACCCACCGACTCACACAACCACACACCTACTCATCCAACCATTCACTCACCCACCCACCAACTCACCCACCCACCAACTAACTTTCTTACCCACCCACCCACCTACTAACTCACCCAGTTACACAACCACCAACTCACTCAACCACCCGCCCACTCACTCACCCACTTACAAAATCACCCACCCACTCGCCCACCCACCCACTCACCCACCCACCAACTCACTCACCCACACACACACTTACCCACCGACTAACACACCACCCACTCACCCACCCACTTCACCAATCACCCACTCACCCACTCACTCATACACCACCCCATCCACCCACTCACTCACTCAATCACCCACTCACACACCCACCCACCTACTCAACCACCCACCAACCCACTGACCCACCCACTCACCCACCTACCCACTCATACACCCACCACCCCACCCACCCACCCACTCACTCAATCACCCACCCACTCACTCACCCACTTAACCAACCACCCACTTATCTACCCATGCACTCATACACCTAACCACTCACTCACCCACCCACTCACCCACCCACTTAACCAACCACCCACTCACCCACCCACCCACTCACTCTTACACCCACCCATCCACCCACTCACCCAATCACACACTTACCCACCCACTCATACACACACCAATCCAACCAATCACCCACCCACTCACTCATTCACCCTCTCACCCAATCACCCACCAACTCACCTACCCACCCACTCACTTAACCACTCAACGACCCACCCACCCACTCACCCACGCACTCACTCACCCACCCACTCACTCACCCACCCAATCACCGATCCACCCACCCACTTACCACCCAATCACCCCCTCACAAACCCACAAAATATTTCACCCACTCATTCACCAACCACCCACTCGCTCAGCCACTCACCCACCCACCCACCCACTCACCCACCCACCCTCCCAATAACCCACCCATCCACTCACCCACCCACCCACCCACCAACTAAACCACCCACCAACCACTCACCCTCAAAATTCCCCCATCCAATCCCCCATTCACACATTCACTCAGTCACCCGCTCACTCAACCACTGACTCACCCACTCACTCATCCACCAACTCAATAACTCACCCACTCACCCAACAACTCACCACTCACTCACCCACTCACTCATTCACTCACTCTCCCACGCACTCACTCACCCACTCACTCACCCACTCACCCACTCACTCACACACCCACTCACTCACTCAATCAATCCCCCCCCAACCACTCATTCACTCAACCACCCATCCACCCACCTTTTCACAAACCCACGCAATCACCCACCCGAACACTCACCCACGTACCGATCAACTCACGCACCAATCCAGCCACCCCTTCACCCACTCACTTGCTCAAAAACTCACTAACTCACTCACCCACCCTCCCACTCACCCACCCATCCACCCACCCACCAACTAACCCACCCACCAACATACTCACCCTCAAAATCCCCCATCCAATCTCCCATTCACACATTCACTCACTCACCCGCTCACTCAACCACTGACTCGCCCACTCACTCATCCACCAACTCAATAACCCACCCACTCACCCAACAACTCACCACTCACCCACTCACTCATTCACTCACTCTCCCACCCACTCACTCACCCACTCACTCACCCACTCACCCACTCACTCACCCACCCACTCAATCACCCACCCACTCACCCACCCACTAACCCACCCACTCAATCACCTAACCACCCACCCTCTCACCCACGCACCCACTCACTCAACCACTCACTCACCCAATCACACAGCCACTTATTCACCCACTCACTCACCTACTCACACGTCAGCCTATCTCTTGTTTGGCCCGTTCCACACACTCACCTACCCACTCACTCAATCACCCACCCTCCCACTGACCCAACCATCCACCCACTCACTCACCCACTTAACCAACCACCCACTTACCCACCCATACACTCATACACCCAACCACTCACTCACCCACCCACTCACCCACCCACTTAACCAACCACCCACTCACCCACTCACTCATACACCACCCATACACACACTCACTCACTCAATCATCCACTCACACACCCACCCACCTACTCAACAACCCACTGACCCACCCACTCACACACTCAGCCAACCACCCACTCATACACCCACCAATCCAACCACTCACCCACTCACTCATTCACCCACCCACCCAATCACCCACCCAATCACCCACCAACTCACCTACCCACCCACTCACTTAACCACTCACCGACCCACCCACTCAGCCATCCACTCACCCACTTACCCACTACCCACTCACACGCCCATCCACCCACTCAGCCACCCACCCAATCACCCATCCACCCACCCACTTATCCACCCAATCACCCCCTCACACACCCACCGACTTTTTCATCCACTCATTCACGCACCCACCCACTCGCTCACCCACTCAGCCACCCACTCACCCACCCACTCACTCACCCACTCACTCACCCACACACTCACTCACCCACTCACCTACTCACACATCAGCCGATTTCTTCTCTGGCCCCATTCACTTCCTCATACAAAAACACCCCCTTATAGCCTGAACAGACTGTAGGGGGCAAGTGCTGTTAGCGAGCACCTATGAAGGCCAGCACGCCATACGAGGGGGTGGGTGGCCAGCACCACGCACGGCCGCCTTTGATCCCCTTTTGCGATGTTTACACACCGCACCAGGCACTCATTTGAGGCTAAGTCGACTTAGGGGAGAACCATGACCGATTCAGATAATCGTCACTGGTGTTGGCTGTGATTGGGAATCTAACTCGCGTCGTTCTAACCACTGCACTACTGCTCTCTACACACTCATACACAACATTCCATCTCTTCACTAGTCCATGCCACTCACCCACTCACTCACACACTCACCCACTGACTCACCCATCAGCCCATCTCTTTTCTCGCCCATACCACTAGCTCACTCACACACATATTCACTCACCCACTCACTCAACTATCAGCCCATCTCTCCTCCAGCCTGTGCCACTCTCTCACTCACCCACTCCCTCACCTATCAGCCCATCTCGTATCCTGCCGAACTCAAAGACAAAAATTCCCCGTTTCGCCTTAACAGACTGTTGGGACCGAACACTGTTAACGAGATCCTTTGAAGGCCGGCACGGCACACAAGTGGGTGGGTGGTCAACAATACGCCCGACCGCCTTTGTCTTGCCAGTGGTGATGTTTACACACCACTCCAGCTACTCATTTGAGGCTGAGTCGACCCAGGGGAGGCCCATAACTGGTTCATATAATCGTCACTGGTATTGGCCATGAGCGGGAATCGAATTCGGATCACAGCGCGCTAACCACTCCACTACCGCTCCCCACACAGACACCCATGCACACAGACACACCCATGCACACAGACACACCCATTCACACAGACACACCCATTCACAAAGACACACCCATTCACACAGACACACCCAGTCACACAGACACACCCATTCACGCACACCAAATTACAAAACATTCCGTCTCTTATGGAGCCCATTCCATTCACCCACTCATTCACCCCTCAGTCCATCTTTTTTTCTCACATGCGGCATCCCGTTTAACAGATGCTGCTAAACACACACGCCAACTTACACACCCAAAACCCACCCGCACACACCCCGGTACATATAAACGCACCCACCCACAGACCCACAGCCAGGAAGATGAGCAGTAGCCCGATCTCAAGGCGTTAAACACAACGGCGTAGACTGAGGAAGGTCACCACTTCGCCAGGTTAGTTATCTCTTTATTGACACCACGCTCGCGGCGTTGATTGAAGTTCAAACAGTCATGATTTTCTTTGTTGTTGTATTGTGATTGCTGCTTTCGTCAAAGCATCGACATCATCCTTGTCAGCAGTAGTCATGTGACAAGCAATCCACTGCTGGGTGATTTCACGGAAGTTAACAATTCGCCCTCAGGCCAAAACAAGAATGAATAATGCTCAATACCATCGTTAGATCTCACCGTTGGATGTCATCATCATCATGTTACATTATTATATAACATCGTTGAATTTCACCGTCAGATCTCATCATTTAGACCCCCTCCGTCTGCCGCTCATCAATCCGCGCAGGGGTCAGTGTTTGCTATGGGGGCCCCCTCTCCTGTGATTTTTTTATAGAAATATTCATGAATACACGACGAACCATTCCCAACGCGGCTTTATCCAACGCGTTATTCAACTCTACACGGTTTACTTAGTGAGGTCTGTTGTCTGAAACACGGAGGTGAAGTTTCTGCTCCACACTGTTTACCTACCGAGGTCTGTTATTTGGGACACGGATGTGATGATTCGGCTCCACACTGTTTACTAGTGATGTCTGTTATTTGGAACACGGATGTGATGATTCGGCTCTGCACGGTTTATCTAGTGATGTCTCATAATTACTAATCTACAACTCATTACTAATCACAACCAATGACTGATTACTAATCGATTATATAATTACATTACCCCCCCCTCCGCCTCTAATCACTGCACCTGATGAGTTAAGTGATGACGTCACTCTTCTGCTCTATATAAAACCGGGAGCAAGCGAGGGCTTTACCATTCTGGCGAATTGCCCGATGATGCTGGAAGTATTTACCAGCGAAACGTCGTACTCAAACTGTAAATGTGGATTAACTCTTCAACACACCGGTGGGCTGAAGTAGTGAATTATTTGTCTTTTGTCAACGTGACACTTTTCTTTGCTGATTGGCCGTGTCGGGTGGTGGAGGGTTACGACACATTTATAAATAAACGCGATCTAACCCAAAAACCTTTATTATGAATAATATTGGTCGCGAAAGCCTACGTGTTAAACCTAGTGATGTCTGTTATTTGGGACACGGATGTGATGATTCGGCTCTGCACGGTTTACCTAGTGATGTCTGTTATTTGGAACACGGATGTGATTATTCGGTTCTACCCTGTTTACCTAGTGAGGTCTGTTATTTGGAACACGGATGTGATGATTCGGCTCTGCACGGTTTACCTAGTGAGGTCTGTTATTTGGAACACGGATGTGATTATTCGGCTCAGCACGGTTTATCTAGTGAGGTCTGTTATTTGGAACACTGATGTGATGATTCGGCTCTGGACGGTTTACCTAGTGAGGTCTGTTATTTGCAACACGGATGTGATGATTTGGCTCTGCACAGTTTACCTAATGAGGTCTGTTATTTGCAACACGGATGTGATAATTCGGCTCTGCACAGTTTACCTAATGAGGTCTGTTATTTGCAACACGGATGTGATGATTCGGCTCCACACTGTTTACCCAGTGAGGACTGTCTGGAACACGCAGGTGATGTTTCGGCTTTACGCAGTTTGACACGGCTAAGATTATCATCTCCGCCTTCCCCCCCACTCCCCTTCTTCCCTTTCATTTCTCTCCCCTGCAAGCACATTTCGTTCTCCTATAACACCACGTGTTTTCAGAACAAGTGTTGGATATAACGCGATGCGAAATTGTCTACAACACAATCGAGTGAATGGAACCACGTCACGCGAGTAGGAATGAGCGCGAGTACAGCTGCCTCAGCGTAGCGTCGAAACGCAAGTCATTTGGATGTCGCTGGATGCTTCTAAATGCTACCTACCTGCCTCAGTCGTTGTTCAACATGCGTATGCATCTCCCGCGTTATCTCGGACTGTGTTTTACCCCCTGTGTAACACATTATTATAACGCGATGTTTCCATAACGCGGTGTACCGCAGCAACGCAACTATCACAGACTTGTACGCTACTCCCGATCGTAATCCCTATGATGGTCGGGCTGTAAGAAGTTCCAAGTCCTTCCAGCACGTCCCCTTTTTGAGCGGCTCTCACCCCAAAATGTTCCGCGTTCACGACCTGTGTTTCCCTCGCGGATGTTTGCATGTTGGGTTCTTAAACAATACAACATAAATCTCATCTCCACGTCGCCAAAGTAGTGCCGTGAGCGTGCTACTTCCGTTGTAAGGTGTGAATGAATCGACCGTGAGAACGATTTAATGAACATGATTTTTTTTGCGTGTGATCCTCGAACACACTCAATGCGCCACAACAACGCAAATGTTCACACATCCACCACATGCATCTTAGCCATCCGGTCGTTGAGGATGTCAGTCATACGGATGCCTAGATGGCGAATCGTTAACGCTCAAATGTTAGAGGAGCGAGCACCGGGCTGGGAATTCAGTGTTGAGGTGAAACTGAAAAATAGTATACTCACACATACACACACACACGCAATTACTCGGAAAAATTCAAGGAACGGAAAGACAGGAAGATTTAGAATAATGGCTTGACGACGACATTAGAAGAGATTGGTGCCAGAAATATGTGGCCACTATTTGAGAATATTGTCACAACACGGAGGAAAGTGGATACATGTGACAAATGTGCAGTGGACACCTACTACGCTTTATCTGCCCATATATCGTGATGATGCATGGCACTAGACACTACACTATATACTACTATATACTACACGATTATAAACTACGTTATACACTACGCTGTTAAATACACAACTATGATGTGCCACTACTTGAGCATATTGGCACTCCAAGACAAAGAGAGGAAACTGGAAACAACAAACTCCTACAGCCAAACTCCTTCCCCTCCCATTACTGGGTGTGTATATAAACACCTAGTAATGTATATAGAAACACCTGTTTGTGTATATGCATATATAGGTATATATAGGTGTTTACATATACACAGGTGTTTATATATACAGGTTTTTTATATACACACACAAGTGTTATGTATAGTTGTGTGTTTTTATACAGGTGTGTGTATATAGATATATACAGTGAGGGGAAAAAAGTATTTGATCCCCTGCTGATTTTGTACGTTTGCCCACTGACAAAGAAATGATCAGTCTATAATTTTAATGGTAGGTTTATTTGAACAGTGAGAGACAATAACAACAACAAAATCCAGAAAAAACGCATGTCAAAAATGTTATAAATTGATTTGCATTATAATGAGGGAAATAAATATTTTACCCCTTCTCAATCAGAAAGATTTCTGGCTCCCAGGTGTCTTTTATACAGGTAACGAGCTGAGATTAGGAGCACACTTTTAAAGGGAGTGCTACTAATCTCATCTTGTTACCTGTCTAAAAGAACCTGTCCACAGAAGCAATCAATCAATCAGATACCAAACGCTCCACCATGGCCAAGACCAAAGAGCTCTCCAAGGACGTCAGGTACAAGATTGTAGACCTACACACGGTTGGAATGACAAGACCATTGCCAAGCAGCTTGGTGAAAAGGTGACAACAGTTGGTGCGATTATTCGCAAATGGAAGAAACACAAAAGAACTGTCAATCTCCCTCGGCCTGGGTCTCCATGCAAGATCTCACCTCGTGGAGTTGCAATGATCATGCGAACGGTGAGGAATCAGCCCAGAACTACACGGGAGGATCTTGTCAATGATCTCAAGGCAGAAAACAATTGGTAACACACTACGCCGTGAAGGACTGAAATCCTGCAGCACCCGCAAAGTCCCCCTGCTCAAGAAAGCACATATACAGTGAGGGAAAAAAGTATTTGATCCCCTGCTGATTTTGTACGTTTGCCCACTGACAAAGAATTGATCAGTCTATAATTTTAATGGTGGGTTTATTTGAACAGTGAGAGACAATAACAACAACAAAATCCAGAAAAACGCATGTCAAAAATGTTACAAATTGATTTGCATTTTAATGAGGGAAATAAGTATTTCACCCGTCTGCAAAACATGACTTAGTACTTGGTGGCAAAACCCTTTTTGGCAATCACAGAGGTCAGACGTTTCTTGTAGTTGGCCACCAGGTTTGCACACATCTCAGGAGGGATTTTGTCCCACTCGTTTTTGCAGATCTTCTCCAAGTCATTAAGGTTTCGAGGCTGATGTTTGGCAACTCGAACCTTCAGCTCCCTCCACAGATTGTCTATGGGATTAAGGTCTGGAGACTGGCTAGGCCACTCCAGGACCTTAATGTGCTTCTTCTTGAGCCACTCCTTTGTTGCCTTGGCCGTGTGTTTTGGGTCATTGTCATGCTGGAATACCCATCCACGACCCATTTTCAATGCCCTGGCTGAGGGAAGGAGGTTCTCACCCAAGATTTGATGGTACATGGCCCCGTCCATCGTCCCTTTGATGCGGTGAAGTCGTCCTGTCCCCTTAGCAGAAAAACACCCCCAAAGCATAATGTTTCCACCTCCATGTTTGACGGTAGGGATGGTGTTCTTGGGGTCATAGGCAGCATTCCTCCTCCTCCAAACACGGCGAGTTGAGTTGATGCCAAAGAGCTCCATTTTGGTCTCATCTGACCACAACACTTTCACCCAGTTGTCCTCTGAATCATTGATTGGGTTGGCAGGTGATTGATTGGGTGGGTGGGCGGGTGATTGGTTCGGTGGGTGGGTGATTGATTGATTGGGTGGGTGGGCGGTTGATTGATTGATTGGGTGGGTGGGCAGGTGATTGATTGATTGGGTGCGTGGGCGGGTGATTGATTGGGTGCATGGGCGGGTGATTGATTGATTGGGTGGGTGGGCGATTTATTGATTGGGCGGGTGATTAATTGGTTGGGCGGCTGATTTATTGATTGGGTGGGAGGGTGATTGATTGGGTTGGTGGGCGGGTGATTTATTCGGTGGGTGGTTGATTGATTGATTGGGTGGGTGGGTGGGCGGGTGATTGATTGGGTGGGTGATTGATTGGGTGTGTGGGTGGGCAGGTGATTGATTGATTGGGTGCATGGGCGGGTGATTGATTGGGTGCCTGGGCGGGTGATTGATTAGATGGGTGGGTGGGTGATTAATTCATTGGATGGATGGTGATTGATTGGGTGGGTGATTGATTGATTAGGTGGGCGGGTGATTGATGGATTAGGTGGGTGGGCGATTTATTGATTGGGTGGGCGGGTGATTGATTGGTTGGGCGGCTGATTCATTTATTGGGTGGGCGGGTGATTGAATGGGTGGGTGGGCGGGTGATTGCTTGCGTGGGCGATTGATTGATTGGGTGGGTGGGCAGATGATTGATTGGGTGGGTGGGTGATTGATTGGGTGCGTGGGCGGGTGATTGATTGGGTGGGTTGTTGATTGGGTGGCTGATTGACTGGGTGGGTGGTTGATTGCGTGGGTGGGTGGTTGATTGCGTGGGTGATTGATTGGGTGGGTGGGCAGGTGATTGATTCGTTGGGCGGGTGATTGATTGATTGATTGGGTGGGTGGGCGGGCGGTTGACTGATTGATTGGGTGGGTGGGTGGGTTGGCGGGTGATTGATTGGGTGTGTGGGCGGGTGATTGATTGGGTGCGTGGGCGGGTGATTGATTGGGTGCATGGGCCGGTGATTGATTGGGTGCATGGGTGGGTGATTGATTGAGTGGGTGGGTGATTGATTGGGTTGGCGGGTGATTGATTGATTGGGTGGGCGGTTGATTGTTTGATTGGATGCGTGGGCGGGTGATTGTTTGATTGGGTGCGTGGGCGGGTGATTGATTTGGTGCGTGGGCGAGTGATTGATTCGGTGGGCGAGTGATTGATTGGGTGGGCGAGTGATTGATTGGGTGGGCGAGTGATTGATTGGGTGGGTGGGCAGGTGATTGATTGGGTGGGTGGACAGGTGATTGATTCATTGGGTGGGCGGGTGATTGATTGTTTATGTGGGCAGATGATTGATGGATTGGGTGGTTGGGCGATTTATTGATTGGGTGGGCGGGTGATTGATTGGTTGGGCGGCTGATTAATTGATTGGGTGGGCAGGTGATTGAATGGGTGGGTGGGCGGGTGATTAATTGGTTTGGCGGGTGATTGATTGATTGAGTGGGCAGGTGATTGATTGATTGATTGGGTGGGTGGGCCGGTGATTGATTGGGTGGGTGGGGCCGGTGATTGATTGGGTGGATGGGCGGGCGGGTGATTGATTGGGTGCGTGGGCGGGTGATTGATTGGGTGCGTGGGCGGGTGACTGATTGGGTGCGTGGGCGGGTGATTGATTGGGTGGGTGGGCGGGTGATTGATTGATTGGGTGAGTGATTGATTGATTAGGTGGGCGGGTTTTTGATGGATTGGGTGGGTGGGCGATTTATTGATTGGGTGGGCGGGTGATTGATTGATTGGTTGGGCGGGTGATTGATTGGTTGGGCAGCTGATTAATTGATTGGGTGGGCGGGTGATTGATTGGGTGGGCGGGTGATTGATTGGGTGGGTGGGCCGGTGATTGATTGGGTGGGTGGGCGGGTGATTGATTGGGTGCATGGGAGGGTGATTGATTGGGTGCGTGGGCGGGTGTTTGATTAGTTGGGTGATTGCTGGGTGGGTGATTGAATGGGTGGGTGGGTTGTTGATTGGGTGGCTGATTGACTGGGTGGGTGGTTGATTGCGTGGGTGGGTGATTGATTGGGTGGGTGGGTGATTGATTGGGTGGGTGATTGAGTCAGAAAGTAAAACAACAAACAATACAAAAACACGATAGGAGTAAGTATATAACCCAAACACATTTTTGTAACCAGATAAAGCCCACAGAGCTATTATCTTTTTCAGAAGGGACCTGGCTATCACAAATGAAACGTGAGCGGCCAAATGATCTAAGTAATTGAAATGCATGTTTCTTCATGTGATGGGAATAACCGGAGGACCTGGAGAAAAAATGTCATGTGACTACGGAGAGAACACATGGTTGTTGGTGGTTGGAGGAGTGTTTGAATTATTTAGCATAGTGATCGGTTGTTTTGCTTCGATCTCTACGAGGTTTATAATGTAAAATGTGAAGGAGCCAGGTTGTGTGTATTGCTTTGTATCAGCAGGGATGTAAGTCCTCCGACAGGGAATGTATGCACTTGTGCAATTTGCACTCATATATTTTATCTATATTTACGTTGTGTTTAGTGCCTTGCTTAACTTTTCTCTTTCTTGCACTCCTACCGTTGTTTTGTGTAATTGTTTTCGTTGTTGTAACTTGCTGACTGACTCGTGCCCTATGTGGAACATAATATAGATACATAGAGATACATACAGATACATGGGGATTGATAGAGAGGCATAGACCTATATAGATAGATAGTGACCCATAAACACTCACAGAGATAGATAGAGATGCATAGAGATAGAAAGTAGCCCACAGTGATACATCGAGAGACAGGCTCATAGAAATATAACTTGCTGTGCTAGTGCCCCTAATGGGAAATGTGCAAAAAGAGCTGTATAGCTCATCAGACTCCTCCTCCAGTCTAAATAAAAAAAAATCGGATACTGTATTATTAATTATATATTGATATCATATCATACCGGATGAGATAGTGATAGGCTTTGTAAAACCTTATGTCAAGTGTCTATTGACTATTGCTGCTACTCCTGCTGATGATGTGGTAGGTGTAGTGATAGGGGTACTTATAGGGTATTGGTACGTGTAGTGATAGGGGTAGTGGTAGGTGTAGTGGTAGGTGTAATGCCAGGTGTCGTGGTAAGGGTGGTGATAGTGGTAATGAGGGGGTAGTGATGGGTAGTGGTAGGTGTAGTGGTAGGGGTCGTGATATGGGTAGTGATGGGGTAGTGGTACATGCCGTGATAGGGGTAGTAATAGGGGTTGGGGTAGACCTGGTCGTAGCTGGGTGTAGGGGGCAGGGAGTATCAGGATGATGATGCTGGGCTAGGAAGAAGAGATGGAAGTTTTCTAACGGAGGAACGGAAGCCGCGGGTTTTTGTTGTTGTGCTGTTCGAGTGGTGAAGATTATTGATCTGTGTGCTGCAGTGGAGGAGTTGATTCCAGCAGTGAAGGGGAGCAAGAAGGAAGCAGGAATGAGAGAACGAGAGACTGGGCACAGTAGGATGGCAAGGGTGGCACACATAGTGAGGGACGGTAGAGACTGGGAGTGTGGAGAACAGGATAGGAGGATCAAGTAGTGAGAGGCGAGATAAGCGAGATGAGGTAGGGCAAGGGAGATGTGAAAGTAACCACCGTATATTGATGTTCATGCCCTATGCCATTCAACATGACGACGACGATGTATTATGTATGATGTATGTACCCATGTTGAATTTATTTTCCACCGTATGTAGCCAACCGTGCTAATCAGACGTGAGTTGATGACGATGATGATGATATCGATGGTTAATTATTTGGGCAACATTTAATTACATTTCATTTTGTCCCCTTCCCATTTAGATAACAAGCGCGCAAGTCCGCACCTGGTACAGCTGTATCCTATCGGCTACAAAGTGGAAAGACATTAAACAATGTTTTCGCTCGGTTTGCTCAAAAAGACAGTTGCCGCACTCACATTCCTGGTCATGTTACTTTATGTTCTGGACATCCTTCGTCAAGTACATAACAACTCGAAGCTCGTCATAACGTCAATGAACAATGTCCTCCAACAGTTGAGTACAGGAATAGATGCTGGCCCTGACCCAGTTTTCCACAAGGTGGGGCAGACCCAGGCGCTTGCCTTCTCCGCGTATCTGGACGTCCGTGACGAGGGACGTCCATTCGTCCGTGTTTTTGTCCTGGCCCCGAGGGATATAAACTACAACCACTTCACCTGCCAACTTTTCTACCGGGACCCACCCACTGTGATGAACGTTTCTGCCAAGGAAGATCTCATCAGCAGCCACTATGGCTTCAGGTACGGCGTCTACAATTTCCTTTGCAACGTCCCTGATCGCACGCCTTACCCAAGTCACGTGAGCCTCGTGGACAGGGCCTCGGGCTCGGCGGAACCTTTTCTCCCATCGATCCCCGTGGTGGTGCCCGGCGATTCGGTGACGAGGCACGACTTTGCCGTGTGCCTTCCGACCCTATTCGGGGCGTTCAACAACTCCCTCATCCTCGTGCAGAACCTGGAGATGTACCGCATCCTAGGAGCAGGCATCGTGACTGTCTACAACACCAGCGTGAGCCCGACCGTGAACCGAATACTCACGCATTACAGACGTGTCGGTTTTCTCGAGGTCGTGCAGTGGCCCATTGAGAATTACCTCAATCCATCCAAAGGCTGGAGGCCCGACATTCACCCAGGCGAGCTTCACTACTACGGGCAGATAGCCACGATGAACGACTGCTTATATAGGAACATGTACAGGGCCAAATACATCTCCTTCTCCGACGCTGATGAAGTCATCTTGCCGAGGCAGTGGTCAAACTGGGCGGATATGATGAGAGCGATAGATGTCCATCAGTCCACCTCAGCTTTCTACTTCACCCTCCACACGTTTCCGATAACGAACGAGGCCACGTGGACATCGCCCATGGGTGGGCAGGCCACCGGGACAGACATCCTGAATCAAACCACAAAGCAGATTCCACCCGCTGACACAATGGACGCCACCACAAAGATACTGGGGTGTCCCAAAGGGCTGGTCTACGTCTCGGTCAACACCGTCCTCATTAGTCGCCCGGGCTACGGAGTCCACACCGTCCCAGATGCGAAGGGCACTCTGCAGCATTACAAGAGGTGGAAGAAGGAGTGGCAGCTGCCGGACAGTTCTGTTCTGATCCGTGACTTTCACGTGCAGAATATCTTTGGCAGCTTGCTCAGGGATAGGGTTCTCAAGAGCCTGGATGAATTGCGTGAATCCTCAGCCGGTGAATGATTATGAATTTACTTTTGATGACCGGTTCTGAAGATCAGCGATTAAGTTAAGCCTCAACACGATGAAAAGGCTGTGTTACCCTTTCTGGCAAAAATACAGGATGTGTTAAGATATTTATATACCAAATATACACGTATTTGAAGGCATAAAGTTGGCATAAATCACACATCATCCCTGTGGTAAAGCATGCAGACAAACACTGCTTTAAAAATAATGTACACATTCTCCTTGAAACTTATTTTCTTATACCAGAGACACTGTTCATCGCGTAACAACTTCATTAACGGGGTGTTTTGGTTGGGGAAGGGTCTATGACACATTTTACTTAATTCTGCAATCTGACCCAACATAAAATCCATTGTGAATCAAACTTATTTCGTTTGATGGGTAATTAATACCAGTTTTGAAGTGGCGAGATGTTAACTCCCTCGCGTGGTATACAGGAGTTCGTGGGTTTGATCCAGACCCTGACTCCTGTATATTTGGAGTGTGCATGTTCTCCCCGTGGTCGCGTAGATTTTTCTTCGGGTCCTTCGATGTTTCTCTTCCACGTTTAGAAACATGCGTTTCAAATATTTGGCTGCTGTACATTTCCACGTGATAAGCCACTTCGTTGAGCTATCATTTGTGTCCAGGTCGCTTCGAAAAAGAGCTAAAATAAAAACGGTAAAACATTAAACAGTTTAAATCTCTGCTGGGGATGAGCCATAAGAGTGCTGCGTTGCTTGTTGTAATCCTGTCCTGCGGTGTTTGTGGCAGCTCTGTGCCAGTGGAATATGCTGCCGAACGTCCTCTGCCACCTCGGCTAAATGCACCGCCACGTAATGCGAGAGTCGCGTGCGAGCGGCTCCAAGCATCAAACGGGCACCGTGACGGCACTGAGCCACGAGTGGAAATTCCCCATTGGTCGCTTTGGGACATTAGTGGAAGGTGCCATCCAAGTAAATGTAAATTATTATTATATAGCTCAGTGGGCCTTACCTGCTGAAATTAATAAAAAAAATAGTTAATAGTTTAGTTTTAACTGCTGCAAGTGTTTTAATCGGCAATGCATTTTTATTGCATTGGTAATAAGTCATTTGTGGTTATTTTTTATATTGTATACACTCAAAATAAACAATATAAATGATGCACAATAAACAAAATTTTATCGTGTATTATTTGTGTGAGTAGCTGATTGTTTATTGGATATAATTCATTGTTTATTATCCATCAATGTGCTGATGCTACACAATTGTACACCTCAGTAAAGTCAAATTACGACATGGAGAGCCTCGGCACGTGTGGTTTGCACGAAACGAAATACTGCTTAATCCAGGACAAAAAAGGAGCTTCTGCTGGTTTACCTATGTGGGAGGATCGGGTGTGGCAGTCGCAGACTCCAGGTTTCAGTGTTCTACTCATCTAAAGAGCCTTGGCACAATACTCGACCGGAAAATGTCCTTTGTTTACCACGTGCAAAATATAGCCGGGTCCTACAATTGTTTTCAATTATCAGGGCTCTATGACACATTCAACCACTCAACAAAGTGGCTTACCATGTGGCAATTTATAGTATCCAAATAATCTAAACATAAACAAAGTAAATAAGTACAAATTGTATAAATACGTAAATTCCTCCCGATTTTCAACACAATGCAAGTTTGGAGCAAGGCAGGAAAACAACAACAACAGTCCTAGACCAGACCAAGACAACAACACAGCCCCTCAATAACACTGGACATTGACATGACAGAAGAAACGTATTTGCCAGGTAAAGACCACTGAGCTCTTGGCTCTTTTTTCAGAAGCAACCTGGCTTTCATAAATGCGAGCTCAACGAAGTAGCTTATCATCATCATGTGCAAATTTATAGCAGCTAAATAATCTAAACGCGTGACGTTGCTTCTAAATGTGGAGGTAAAACCCGGAGAAAAATCCACACGACCAAGGGCACAGACAAATACAGCAGGCGTCGGGGTCGGGATCGACGTCCTGCATACTTGGCGAGGGAGAAAACATCTCGTCACCACGGCACCCCAATAAGTAACCACCACCACGGACACACACACAGAGTTGTTGCCACTGGGCTACAGATCTACACAGGGCAGAGCAGCAACAGCCGTTAGTTGTACTGCCCTGCTATGCTCCCACCTCGACGATCCCCCACACTACCCAACAAGTCCGACATATAAATAGCGCTCACGGCACACATAGCCTGCAGAGGCCCTCACCCAGCAGTGTATTTGCACATCCGATTAGCACGGTTAGCTACAGTCGTTGCGAAAGATGTTCAGGATACATACACACATTGCATGTTGTTTCTAACTATGACTTCAGTAATGTTTTGATACTAGCAATATACAACCAACTACAGGTGATAACATACGTCTCTAGTCGGCCTATTGTAATTTTTACGTATCAATATAAACCATGTATAATTTAGGGATGTTTCTGTTTTGCTTTAGCACAGGGGTCGGGAACCTTTTTGACTAAGAGAGCCATGAAAGCAAAAAATTTGGAAATTTATTTCAGTGAGAGCCATATAATATATTTTAAAAGTGAATTCAACTAAATGTCAGTATAATAAGCCTCTGAATTTATTCTTTTAAATAATGTTGTTATAACACTCACCATTAATGCGACTTCTGGTGCTGCATGGATTTGCTGATGTCTTTGTAGTCGGGTTGGTACTTGGTGAGGTTAAGCTTCATGCAAGCGTTGAGGCTTTCATCCGTTAAACGTGATCGTAGGTTGGACTTGATGTTTTTAAGATGTGAGAATGACTGCTCACATGCATACGTAGATCCAAACATGGTCAATACAGCAATACTCACACGCTGCAGTGTGTGGTATGTGACAGGAAGCGCGTTCCAAGTTTTGAGAATCAGCTGGTCTTCGGGTTGGAGTTTTTTCATTTCTGTCCACATGTGCTTGCTCGCCAACTCCGCTTTCTGTCGTGTGATTCTTTCCAAATCTTCATTCAGTGACTTGAACTTATTCACCCACATGTCTGAGGCCTTCAGGTCAGCCACTTCTGCTTCAAAATCTCTGACGGAGACACCAGGGATGTAATTCAGGTCGGCTGTGTTCAGTGAACACTCGTTTGGATGGGTGATGAACTTAAAAAGACGAGTGTGCTCACGAAATTCTCCAAAGCGTGCTTTGAAGGACTGTAGGAGACTGGATGTGCAGCCAGCTAGCTGGTGGAGATCAAGGTTTTGAATGGGCTCACTTGCTGTGCATGCATCTTTAAATTGGCTCAGTTTTTCAAAATGTAGTAAACGACCTGTTTCAAGATCCGTGATGAAAAGCTCCAGCTTGTTTTCAAAAGCAAATACAGCTTGTTGAAGGGATAACACTGTATTTCCAATGCCTTGCATTTTCACGTTGAGCTGGTTCAGATGTTCAGTCAGATCTACGAGATAGTAAAACTTGAGGAGCCACTCGGTGTCGGCTAGCTCAGGATGCCCGACGCCTTTCATTTCAAGGAAAGTCCGGATTTCGTTCAGGCAAGCCGCAAAACGGCTAAGCACCTTCCCTCTTGACAACCAACGCACATTGCTGTGCAAAAGCAGACCAGGATAGTTATTTACAACTTCATCCAGCAGTGTTTTAAACTGGCGATCATTTAAGGCTCGGGCAACAATAAAGTTGATCACACGAATGACCAGCGACATCACTTCGCCAAACTGCCTGTCACACATCTGAGCACAAAGTGCCTCCTGGTGTATAATGCAATGGAAACTTAGGATGGGTCTATTTTCATGTTCACGGAGAAGCGCCACAAATCCTTTGTTTTTCCCCACCATACACGGAGCACCATCAGTACACACTGAGATAAGTTTATCCATAGGTAGACTTTTTTCTTGAGCAAACTCCATGAAAGACTTGAATAAATCCTCACCTCTTGTGGACCCTTTTAATGGCAGAACAGCAAGACTTTCTTCGCGCAGTGTGTCACCAACAGCATATCTTGCAATCACGCTGAACTGCGACAAATGGCTCACGTCTGTTGACTCATCCAAAGCCAGAGAAAAGAACGGCGCTGCATTTATGTCCTTCACTTGCGTTTCCTCCACTTTGTTTGCCATCACGATGGTACGATCATGAACAGTTCTTGCCGACAGAGGCATGTCTTGTATCCGTTTGATTATCTTGTCTTTGTTCGGAAGATCATCAAAAAGTTCATTGGCTACATCCAGCATGAACGTTTTAGCATACTCGCCATCTGTGAATGGTTTTCCGTTCCTCACTATTGCTAAAGAACCAGCAAAGCTAGCCGAATTATAGTCACCTTGCCGGGTCCATACGCGGAGTTGCTGCTGGCTAGCTTGCACCCTGCTCAGAAGCTCTTGGCAGGCTTTCTTTCTGCTGTCTCCCGCAGGGTATTTTGATGCAAAGGTAGCGTGGCGCGTGTCGAAGTGCCGCTTTACATTCGACCGTTTCAACGGTGTAATTTTGTCATTGCAAATTATACACACCGCAGAACCCGCTCTCTCCACAAAGGCGAATTCTTCGGTCCATTCGTCCTGAAATGTACGATACTCGTCGTCTTTTTTTCTTTTCGCCATCTTCTTCGTCGAAGGGTTAGCTTTGAGCTAATGACCGAGCAGACGCAGTCTCAGACTGATTCAAAAGGGGGCGTTTACCTGTTTTACCCAGCAACGGCAAACGTAGGCCAGTATCATCCAATTAAAATAATGGACAATTGCTCCTGCAGCCCTGAACAGGACATGCGCAGTGAAAAATCGATGGATGGATTAAAACAAGTGAGAATATTTTGTTTTATCTGCGAGCCATATGCAATCATCAAAAGAGCCACATCTGGCTCGCGAGCCATAGGTTCCCGACCCCTGCTTTAGCAGCTTGGTTTGGTGCACTGTACTTTTCACGAAAAGTAACTGTGGAAATTTGCGGTGTTGGACGGTAGATGTCTGATAATGACGTCGAATGTTTTCACACCGCACGGCACGCACACGTGGATTTGCATTTTGTTTTCTTTAAAACCTCAAACCTTGGATCATGAATAAACAAAACCAGCACTCGCATTCATACTCTTTGGTTCTTTCGGTAAAGTCACGTAGGTATAAAATAAAATCAATAACGACGTTTTGATCGCAACACAAGCTGTCGTCCTCAGGCGGAAAAAATATAATCCTGCAGTGGAACTGCTGAACCAGCAGTTCATGTCAATTATATTTTCTACTCGCTTTTACAAAAGTTTTTTTTATTCTTGAGAAAATATTAACTATTTTTTCCAGGTGAGGCCCACTGAGCTCTATATTCATAGTTTTCAGAATCCAAATCGAAATATATATTTATACTGGATGAATCCGATGAGATATAAAGCTCTTTTTCACAGATGTCCAAAAGCGACCTGGCAAACAAATGATTGCTCAACGAAGTGGCTTATCGTGTGGGAATTTGTTGCAGCCAAATACTCTAAACGCGTGATGTTCATTCTAAATGTGGAGGGAAAAACCGCAGAACTTGGAGAAAAAT